ACCCTCCCCTAAAGTTCACTTCATGCAAGAAGTCTAGGTCCAAGGTGGCTCCTTGACAGCCAAAGCCCTTGCCACTGAGCACGTGGTCCCTGCATTGAACCATGTGACTCTACAGCCCAACTCTCCCAGAGGAGACAGTATCAGTCTGGTCCCTAAGGAGAATGCAAAGAGTTCAGCGGACCTTAGAGAAGATGCTAGGGAAAGACAGACACCCAGTCATGGATGTCTCGGTGGGTTAGTAGATTTAGCAAATCCTAATATAGACCCAGAAGCAGATAGTAGAAAATATCCTTTTTAAAAATTTATTTATTTATTTTATTAATTACAGTTTATTCACTTGTATCCCTACTGTAGCCCCCTCCCTCGTCCCTCCCCAATACCACCCTCCCTCTCTCATTTCCTCTCATGCCCCTGAGTCCACTGATAGGGGAAGTCTTCTTCCCCTTCCATCAGACCCTAGCCTATCAGGTCTCATCAGGACTGGCTGCATCATCTTCCTCTGTGGCCTGGTAAGGCTGCTCCCCCTTCAGGGGGATGTGATCAAAGAGCCAGCTACTGAGTTCATATCAGAGACAGTCCCTGTTCCCATTACTATGGAACCCACTTGGACACTGAGCTGCCATGGGCTATATCAGTGCAAGGGTTCTAGGTTATCTCCATGAATGGTCCTTGGTGAACTAAACAGAGAATTCTCAATAGAGTAATATTGAATGGCAGAGAAACACTTAAAGAAATGTTCAGCGTCCTTAGTTATCAGGAAAATGCAAATCAAAACGACCCTGAGATTTCACCTTACACCCATCAGCATGGCTAAGAACAAAAACTCAAGTGACAATACATGCTGGAGAGGTTGTGGACAAAGGGGAACCCTCCTCCACTGCTGGTGGGAATGTAAACTTGTACAACCACTTTGGAAATCAATCTGGCGCTTTCTCAGACAATTAGGAATAGTGCTACCTCAGGATCCAGCTTTACTACTCCTAGGCATATCCCCAAAAGATGCTGAAGTACACAACAAAAAAAGATCTTTTAACTTCATCTTCTAAGGCACCAAAAATTTGGTTTCCCCATTTCTGGTATATTACACACACACATACAAAAAAAAAAAAAAGCCTTCCTTTTAAGTCTAAAGCAGTGGTTCTCAAACTGTGAATCATGACCCCTTTGGGGGTCAAAAAACTGTTTCACAGGATATACATATCATATCTGCTGCATATCAAGTATTTCCACTACAGTTCATAACAGTAGCAAAATTACAGTTACGGTGTAGCAACAAAGTAACGGTTGGGAGTCACCACAACATGAGGAACTGCAGTAACAGCTTGCAGCATTAGGAAGGCTGAGAAGCACTGTTTTAGAGCATTATACTGTGGAGTAAGGAGCCATGAGCAGAAATGAGTCAGGGTTCATATAGAAGCTTGCAAAATATTCACTCCTGACCAGCCTCCTCCTCCTCCTCCTCAGCAAACATCCCAGAACTGAGCAGCTCATTGGTGTAGGCATCTTAGAACTGGGGGTGGAGGATGGGGCCCACCGAACCTGAAGCAACATATGCTGAGCACAAGGTAAAGGACGGAGCTGAGAAACTGGTGTTTGCAACCTGCGCTAGATCAGATCCCCTTCTGTCTCTTCTCCCAGGTAAACTCCAGAAGAGCAAAGGTATGTGCAGACTTTTTAATCTCAGGAGAGGACCTAAGGTGATGACCTGCCTTCTCTGCTGGTTCAGGTAATAGTTTCTACAATATCGCCATGTGTCTTCATGCCACCTCTTCATAGTGGGGAACGGGGAGGCACAGAGATGTCTGCATGGCGTCATTGGTGCTAGGAGGGCGAGGCTGCTCTCCTTAGAAAAGCCTGTTGGCAAAGTTGGTGCACAGTTGAAGTCTAGGAACTTAGGCTTCATGTTGCTCTCTTCACCCGCTAATGGCCAGCAGAGGCACCAGGACTCACGCACAGGCAATCTAGTTCACACAGAACACCTGCTTTCCTTAGGGAGTCTAGAATTTTGTGATGAGACAGAGAATAGCCACATAAAAAAGCTTAAGCATAGAGAAATGAGTCTCTAGCAGAAAAATTCCTGTGTTTCTCAATAACTCATAGAGGACCTATGTTGAGATTCCAAAGGAAATGACTCCTGGGAGCCCATGTCTGGCTGTTTTGGACTTGTTCCCCTAAGCCTTTCTCTTTTCCAGGTTTTCCTTGTATATTCACACCACAATAAACTATGAGCAAAACTATATACTAAATCTTTTGAAACTTCCCAGGAGATTATCATACCCAGGTTGGCCTTAGAGATGCCTAAAAAGTGGAAGTTTTTAAGGATTCTTGGAGTGTGGTGCAGGTTTCATGAAGTCCAGAGCCTATAAAAAGGAGGTAGGCGATGACAGGACCCAGGGGAAAGGATATGTATGGGGCTGGAGAAATGGCTCACAGGTCAAGCGCACTTGCTGCTTTTCCAGGGGACCCAAGTTCAGATTCTAGTCACTACTTCAGACGGCCCACAAATGCCTATAATCCCAGCTCCAGGGGTCTGACCCCCTTCTTCTGGCTTCCCCAAGTACTTGTGCACACACAGGACACACCATCTCTCTCTTTCCCTCTTTCTCCATGTCTCTGTCTCTCTCTGTGTCTACCTCTCTCTCACACACACATAAATTTAAAAGAGAATAAAAATGAAATGAAAGCAGGGCCAAGTAGATGATGGTCCCACATTTATTCCCAATGCCCTCTATCTTTTTCTTTCTCTTTATGACTCACTTTGATCTTAAAAATACGTCATACTTGTCAACGGAAGAACATGTACTACTTTGCAAAACATTGATTTCATTTTAGTTAGGACAGCAATGGTTATTCAAAACAAGAGCGACATTTCATCCTGTAGTCAAGTAACTCCTTACTTTTTCAATTCATAAAACGTTCTTAGATAACACCTCATTTGATCCTCATAACAACACTATAAAGTAGATTTGACTTTTTTATTATTATTATGGAGGATCAAATGTAGAGCCTAGCGGATGCCAGCCAAATGCTCTACCCAGAGCTTCATCCTCAGCCCAATAGACAATGGGGCTTTTATCTTTCATGGCACAGAATTCATTGCAGTTTGGCTGGCTGGCTAGCTATGGCTTTAGAAAAATGAGTGCTTTATAGAAACGAATAATCCCTGAAATCTCACCACGGAGGAACAGACTAAAAGGCAAAGCAGGCGTTTGGAGGAATTATTAAGATCACAAATTAAGTCACTTCTATGGACTCCATAGCAGGAAATAGATTTTTAATGAGGAAATTGAAGCTAATGTGTACCAGCTGTCCTGTTACCCACTGACGAGTCTTAAGGTAGATTAAATTATTAATGAAAACTGTAGCAGCTTAGAAACTTAACCTCTTCCATTTCCCTCCCTCCTTTCTCTTCTCTCCCCAGTCCTGCACTGCTGTGCACCTGGTCACAGACAGGTCACAACAACCACTTGCTTTACTACCCAGAAGCAGTGGCCTCTTCCCGGGCTGTTGAACCTTGCTTTGCAACTGGAACTCGGAAAGAACAAATTCATAGAGCTAAGCAGAGGATTAGAGGAGGCAAGAAAAGTAGCACATGCAATGCTTGGCTTGAGGTGAGTTATGGACAAAAGCAGAGGTTACGAGAGGCGGGAAGAGTGAAGGATCAATAACTGAATAATATCCAAAGTGAGTCTTCAGACTATCTCCACCATGACAGCTGTTCAAATCCCTAAATCCCTGAATACGCTGAGAAAGCATTTGCTGGCCAGAGCCTCTGCACGCACCTACCATTCCAGCTGTCCTGGCCTCTCTCCTAAGATGGAACTGTTCAAGAGCTCACCGTTTTCTCCTTCGTGGCACATTACCTGAAGTGCTACTCTATGGGGTAGCAAGGAGCCTTCAAGAAGACTGCTGGGTGGCTCCTCCCCAAACACCTGCTTCCTTGGCAGCCAAACTGTACTTGACCCATAGACTCACAAGCAAAGAATAAATATTTTTGAGGCTGAGAAGACAGCTCCTTTGTTAAAATGCTTGCCACCAAAGACTATGGTGGTGTGTGCCTGTCATCCTGGCGCTGAATGGTCCTTGGGGCTTGCTAGCCAGCTAGAATAAGCTGAGTCAATGGCCCCCAGATTCAGTGCGATCTTGCTTAAAAAAATGAGGGCCTAGAGAGATGGTTCAGCGGTCATGAGTATGTTCTGCACATCAGAAGACTCAGGTTTGATTCCCAGCACCCACATAGGACTCATAAGCAGCCATAACTCCAGTTCCAAGGGATCCAATGTCCTTTTCTGGCCTTCCTGTACTCCTGCATCCACAGGATATACATGAACTCGGAGAGGCCCGCACACATACACAGAGATAGAAATAAATATCAAACAAACAAAAATAAATAAATAAAAATCAAACAAGACAAGAAAAGCACGGTAAAGGGTGATTGAAGAAGACATGTGACATAGGCCTTTGCCCTATACACACCTGTGCACACACACAAATAGGTACCCACACAAGAATATACAGGTACTTTTAGCATTAGCCACCTAGACTTTGGAAGTTGTTGTCCTGACACAGCTAATTAATAATATCGCTATTACATGATTATTAAAGTGACTCCATCAGTTACACAAACTTTTTTTTTCTTTTTGGTTTTCTGAGACAGGGTTTCTCTTGGTAGCCTTGGCTGTCCTGGACTCACTATGTAGACCAGGCTGGCCTCGAACTCACAGCAGTCCTGCCTCTGCCTCCCTGAGTTCTGGGATTAAAGGTGTGCGCCACCACTGCCTGGCTGAATACATTTTTCGAAAAGCATCACACAGGCACAGGCAAATGCAGCACACACGGGTGAGTGCACAGAGGGAGAAGAAAGGGAGAGGACAGAAAATGTCTGCTAACAGGATCCCCTTCAGTCTTCCAAGCACTGGGTGTCAACTGAGCAGAAATTAAAAACGAACAAACAACAAACAAAAGCTGCGCCACGGCCAGGCGAGGCGCTGTGTACTCACGTTGGTGTTGCACAGTTTGTACTGCCGATAGGCCCCAATGCATGAGATCGCAGCAGACCGAAGACGATGGGGAAAGGCCTGAGCCGCCCCACGGGGCCTAGCACCATTGACGCTGCTCATTTCTGGGCTGTGGACGAGACTGGAAGCTGCAGGGTAGCTTTGATCGTGAGTCAAAGGCAGCTGGTAGCGAGAGGCCTCCGAAGCTGGCAGTGCAGACTGAGAGCCACTGTGGGAAAATGGGCGGCTCGGGGGCCTGTAGCCCTGTCGAGAAGAGGGTGCCTCCCGGGACCTGGAATGCCTGGATGACGGCCGCTGTCTCCGAAGCCTCTGTGGGGTGTGCGTGGTGTCCGTCTGCAGTGGTAAGATGTAGGGAGCCTTCCCATAGCCATACTTGCCAGGGCCGATGGGACCTCGGGTCCTGCCCCTAAAGGAAAGCACACAACAAAGACCAACAGTCATGTGACCTGCATACCAACCCGAGAGTTCCGGGCCCAGGGCTCAAAAGAGACGTCATGGAAGCCAGGGCGGAGGCTCCCCGGACACTGAGGTAGAATGGAGGTGGGAATCAAGGGTTGGATGAACCTGCAGGCAACGTGACTGGTTAGAAACAAGGTTAGAATCACGTTGTGGTCAGTGCAAGCTCAGTGCACCAGGAAGCTTGGCCATTTCTGCAGGCCACAGGAAGCTACTAAGGGTTTCTGAGTCCTGTAGAGATGTAATTGCAATCTCAGCAACAGTTACTTCCCATTAACTTTTCGTTCCTTGATAATGTGCTTTTTTTTCCTCACAGAGCTGTGTCTGATATTCCACAGGGTCTCCATGACCACGCATATCCAGAGCGCATTCTTGGGTGAGTGGAGCCCAGCCTGGGCCATGACATTCTATTACAGTCTGAGACCTAACTCGCATTGACCTTAAAAGACCAGAAGGGATTAAGTGATTGCTTACCAGTCCATCATTGAGGAAAGCCATGCTAAGCAGAGTCGTCCTCAGGCTGGCACGAATCTTTAACTATTTAAAAAGGTCCACTGCCCTCTGAGACTTCGTAAGGATCACACATGCAGTGGCTGTGCTCGTATGTTTAACGCACTGCATTTCTCGGTGGCCTGACCTGAAGCACTTGCCCACTGCTTTGGTGTAAATACCGCCTTGGCCAACTTCATGCCTCCACGGTGAGGACACAGTCAGCTCTAATGAGCAGGTTAAAAAGTAGCAGAGCTGGGGGTGTGGCACACTGCTAGAGAGAGCGGCCTCTACGTGCACAAGGCTCGCTCTCCACATTCAGTACTAGTGCTGCCAAGGAAAAGCAAAAATGGGCCCAGAACTCTCCTGCCTGTCAATTTATTTTATTAGCTTTTATTTTTATTTGTGTGGGAGAGTGCAGAAGAGGGCATGAGACGCTCTGGAGCTTCAGTTACAGGAGGCGGTAAGCTGCCAGATGTGGGCAGCGGGAAGCCAACTCAGGCCCTCTGCAAGAAGAGCATACCCTCTGGCCCCGTGCATGTCAGTTTTTTATGCAACCACTCTTGACAGAACACAGAGCTCAGAATGGTACAGAAAAGCAAAAGCGCACCAGGGCTGTGTTCCAGGACCCCAGCCTCACAACCAAAAGCAGCCAGAGCAGCACGCAGGACAGGGTAGGAACCTTAGAAATAATCTACCACACTGTGTCGGGGGACTGCTGAGGAAGCGGGAAACACAGTGTAAGGGACCCGAGAGGGTGCCCCGGCCACTGGCCTAGAGAAGAGGGCCAGCTTCCAGTACTCTGCAGACAGACGTAAGCCATTCGAGTCTTACTTATTTTCAAAATGACTAAACTGAATTAAATGACCGCCAAGGTTGCTCCAGCTCTAAAATTATATGCTTCCATAATAATTAATTCTACATTTATGTAAAACTGGAAATGTGCCCAAGGGTTTCTACAGGATGGCCCCATTAAAATAAGCACATTAAAATAGCAATCAAGGTGAAACATTGATTTCTGCCCTCCTGGGGACATTCTTTCTCCACTCTATATAAGCATGAATATAAAACTTAATAGCGCACAACTAATTATTAACATCTTTATCACTAATTGCGCCTCCATTCTTGGCTGATATGGTTTTGAATTAAAGTAAGCTGCAATATTTATTTTACCTTCAGGCATTTCTCAATTAATCTTGGCAACACTTGGGACTCAGTTAATGGTGGAGACTTTAACAGATGCCATTAAGAAGTTAGTCTTAGAATACATATATGACTTGGACCCAATTTGCCTTTTCTTTCTTGTGGCAGGCCAGGTAAAATGAATGACATCATAGAAAGGCAAAGGAAGGAATTTTGCAGTATGTGTTTTTAAGTTCTGCAAGCCTACCAAAAATGAAACCTATCCCCAAAGTAAGAGCTCAGTGGAGACTCTAGCTGAAGGTAGCGGAGGAAGCCAGGCAACGGGAGTAGGGCACCTCACCGTTGCTGGTAACACTCAAGGGCAGCAGAGAAAGAAGCTGCTGGCATGGTGACGATGAAAGCATTGTCCCCCAAACAGACCCTCACCCCCAAAGGTAATACACATATGCAAATGTGTTGCCTTTTGTTATGGAGCAAGAAGAGGGGGGAGGGTAAGCTCTTCCCAGTAATCCAAAGAACATTCAAAATTACTGAAATCATACCACCTTTGCCAAGACAAAGGTGTGAAGGCATTAAATGATAATTTAATCCTGATAAAGAGTGAGCAAGTCAGACATGCTTCGGAGCAGATCTCTGAGTCCTTAACTCCCAACACATGGTAGGCTACAGAGTCACCCCCGCTTGGCTGGGGCCGCATTTGCATTCCCTGTGACCCATCAGAGCAAACAACCCGGGTGGTTCAGGGTGGCCTCTTCCTCGCCATGACAGAAACCATCTGGCCACTAGCAGGGGGCCTCCACCAAGTGGGGTGAATTTACACAGAGCTGTGACAATAAGCACAGATGTGTCTGCGGGGCTCCGTGCGGCTCTTTAACCCTTCCGGGAGAGCACGCAGTAGCTGTCCCCGGGAACGGGGAGCTGGCTTATTCTTAAGCTTTGTCTCCTGGAACCAAGCTGTGGAATTTTACTGTAGGAGCTTCACTTGACAAAATTTTGGCTAATTGATGAAAGTTAGGCGATGTGCTGGTTAGTTTTAACTGTCAACTCCACAGCATCTGGAGTCACACAGGACGAGCTGGTAGCCATGTCTGTAGGCAAGCCTTGATAGTTGATACAGGAAGACCTAGCCCGTGGTGGGCGGCACCATTCTGCTGTGGACATTTTGGCTTATGATGTGTAAACATGTTTTGCTTTAATCCCAGGTATGGGATGTGGGACTGACTCAGATTGTCCACAGCAGCAGACTATTTGCCTAGTGTGGGCTCTGAGGGGCTCTTTGCCAGCTGCAGATAGTTTAAATCTGAGAACTCTGAGAGGGAGTAAAGGCCAGAGCCCAGACGGTGTCGGGGAACTCCGAGAAAGAAGGCTGCTGCTCCCTCTGTTCCTGGTTGCTGTTGACAGTTTGACAAGAAGGCGTAGAGATACCCTGAAATGAAGACTGGACTTGCCCCAAGGAACCCGACAACCCTAACCAGCAGGAAGCAGCTAAAGAGAACTCAGCCCCTTCTCCCCACTGACCTTCTCTCTCCGACCTGGCATTGGGGTGTTGGAAGGGACTGGGTGGAGAAGGGAGGAAGAGGTATATGAAGCATAAATAAACGATTTAAAAAGCACGCCAATGCCATTCCTTAAGCCGGGCCCTAAAGTAGGTGGAAGTGGAAGGCAGTAGCTGAGAGCAAGCAGGCAGGCGGCATGGCTGTGCTCACTCCTATCTGCTCTTGTGAGGATTTGTTCCTCCCTTGAGTTCCTCGCAATAATGGGCCATCACCTGGAACTGTAAGCCACGTAAACCCTTTCCCCTGTGTGGCTTTTAGTCAGGGTATTTGTCACAGAGATGACACTGGCACAGGCAATAGGACACATTACGGTTCAGAGATCAGAGACATGGAGGTCACAGTACTGCACACCCCTGAAGCCGAGAGTCAGGAGTTTGAACCTCGCTCTGCCAACGGTGGAAAAGAGGTCAGCAGACTAGCTCAGGAGCTTTGTGTAAGTTACTCCATTTTAGCGCCTCAGTTTCTCCTAATGGGTCAGAACTAGGTTTACTGCTTGGTGAAACCCTAGGATGTGACATTTCAGGAGATACCCTCCAGGCAGAGGGTATACACTCCAGCGAGTGACAGCTGGAGCCATTAGTGATGATGTTTTAGATGTTGCATGCTGTGAATCTGTCTCTCCCCAACCCCAGTGCTAAACTCATACTCATTTACAAAGATGGCCTCATAGTTTGATCATCTGACTATACCGCAGTACTGAGCATCAGCCACTATGCCTAACTTTAGTCTGTCCTAGGTGATACAAGGAAATCTCCTCAGAGTGTGTGTGTGTGTGTGTGTGTGTGTGTGTGTGTGTGTGTGTGTGGTCACAGTAAGCTTGTAACCTGGCAGCTTTGAGAGGGGCCTGATTCGGCAATTATGATAAGCCGTTTGGCATCCCCCATGCAGCCCTTTGCGGGATAAGCTTAGCAATAGCTCCTGGACATTGCCTCATCCACCTGGAACCAGCACGGCCCAGGGGAGGCTCAGCATCGTAGACAAACTCCCTTCTCATTCTTCAGAGCCTCGCTCAGCAGAATCACCTACAACACGCGTTTTAACAGATTGTGAAGCTCTGGCTTGGGCCTGAGAATCTGTATTTTCAACAACCCCAGGGAACTGCTGTTGTTCTTGGTTCATCAGTCCTCTGACGGTCTGTCTACCGCACCCCGTCCCACACATGAACTGGCTCTTGCATTTGGACCTCCTCTCTGCAGGAAGCCCATATTCTCTCGCTTGGCCAGTGTAGATGCCTACTGCATGCTCTCTCCCCAGTCCCTGGATGGACAGCCCTGCCACCGCCCCTGCAGTTTCCCTATAGGCCTTTCCAGCCCCGGCCTGTATCGTCTCCTCCTCCTATGCTGCCTTCCTGGCATAGAACCAGAAATGTGTGCCTAGCTACTGCTGAAGCTCTGAGCAACATTCAGCCTGATCTAAACTCCAAAGCACTCTGCTACAGAAAACATGTCCTTCTGTGACCTCCCACTGGACCCCATGAGCTGTCATAGTACAGCCATCTTTTCTTATGTGTGGTTATATTCCTGTCAGAGTCGCTAGAATACAGGCGTCCTGGAGGCTAGGTCTTATTTATCTGTATCTTCATGGCCCACCAAAATGACTAGTACTTAATGGGTATTCCCTTTCACCAAGTAACTGCTGATGGGCTGGAGAGATGGCTCAGAGCTAAGTGCACTGGCTGCTCTTGCAGAGGATTGGGTTCAAGTCCCAGCAACCACATAGTGGCCCACAACCTTCTGTAATTCCAGGCTCAGGAGATCTGGCC